ACATAGAGATAAACAATAAAGAAAATCAAGTAATTTTGGATTATCTACAATTCTTGTTTGAATACTTCCACTAAGAACATTATGATATATTTCACCATAAATACTACACTTACTAAACTGCATTTTGTTCTCACTATTTTAATTAAGTTAAAAGGTTTTTTTAATTCAATTTAATTATAAAGAAAGACAAACGTTAATGTCCCTGTTTTATCACTTAAAATATACTGAACCCCTCCCATTTCTTCAATCATTGAACAATTATTTGTTTTCATTCCAACAACTTTTTCTGTACCTTCAGAATCAAATTCTTTAATTTTAAAATCATCATCCATTTCCATAATATTTCCTTGAATAAATCTACATACCTCTATTGTAACTCCAACTGATATTGGAATAGTATATGATATTAAATTAAAATATCCAAAGAACTTTTTTATTGAATAAGTTGTTGTAGACCATTGTGGGTCAATTGAATGAAGATACCAATACCCTTCATCTTGTATTACATTTTTATATTTCCAACTAGCAAATCCTGCCATAATACTACAAAGGATTAATTGAAAGAAAACAGTAGAAAGAACAAATTGATTTAAACGATGATCTAATGTTGAATTTTTATTTATTGGTTTTGAAGAATTTAATGATTGTTTAGTATATTTTCCTGTATAACATACTACAGCAATAACTTTATCAGTTTTTCTTAAAACAGAACCTTGTAATAAAAGGTTTTTTGAATCTAATGTTATTATATTCTCTCCATTAAACTTAAAACACCCTTTAAAGTCATTAAAATTTGATGTAGGAAATCCACACTCTAACATTCCTTTAAAATCAAGTGTTGAATTTTCTGAACTTTTAGATAATTGTTTGGGGACATAAACTGTTTTCAATGATGTTTCTCCATCTAATGCAGCTGTTTCTACTTTACAAATACCATCAGGTAAAGAAGAATAAATAGGTACACAATCACAAGGTATAATTTCATTCTTAGTTAAAATAACTAAATCCCCAACAACAATATTCTTGGACGATCTAATAGTCTCAATTCCATCAGTAATAGTACTAAACTTTTTATTATTAAATTCTTTATCTGAACGATGTCTTTTTAAATCTTCGATAATTTCTCTTATTGCTGAAACACAAAGAACAATAATAATTGGAATAACAGCAGTAATTGGTGTTACTGTTGAAATAAAAGGAATACAACTAATTATCATATTTATTAAAAAATAAACATTTGTCAATAATTTATATTGGTAATATAAAAATTTAAATATGAAAGAAAAAATGGAATATTTTGTGGTAGATATTTCATTACAAGGAAATAATTTTTTATTTCTTTTATGTTGTTGAATGAAGATGGGTGGATATGAACCTAAGATTACATTAGCTTTTAATTATTCTTTATACAGAACATATATTTTTCTTTTTAACAAACTCTTTCTATGGCAAATCCAATCCAATAATTTCATTAAAACATTTATTAGATTATTATTTTTATTAAATCTTTATTATATAATAAAAAATATTAAATATTTTTTTGTTTTTTTATTTTTTATTATTTAAACTAATTTTATATTATTTTGAAGTTTCTTTTCATAAACATAAAAAATTTATAACATTAAAAGAAAGTTATAAGAAGATATAGACTTTTTTGATAAATAACAAAAAAAATCTTTTTGTTACTAATCTAATAAAATACCTTCATTCTCATCATTTCTCCTAACTTCTAATTCTTCATGGTTTTCAAGGGAATATGGACTTCCTGTTGAAACTGACCCTTTTCTTTTCTTTGTGTTAATAACATACGTTGGTTTCTTTGTTTCTGAAGACAGAGAAATATTAAAACGTTGAGCAAATGAAGAAGAACGACTTCTTGAACGAGTTTGTGGTGAAATTAACTCTTCATATGCCTCTGGATCTACTTCTCTGTCTTTGCTTGATCCTCTACTTTTACTGTCATGTCTAGATAATGACCTACCAAATATACTTTCATGTCTAATCTCATCACCTTCAATGATGTCTTCTCTCTTTCTACTGGAAGACCTACTTCCTTTTTTAATAGATAATGAAAATCTTCTTCTTGGTTTCTCATATGTAACTTCACATGGAATAATACTAACTTCAACTACTTTAATTGTTAAGTCAACTGTTATATATGGTTTAGTTGGTTGAGTTGGTTGAGTAGGTGTTTTCTTAGTGGCACTAAATTCAGCGTCAATACTTTCATCAATTTGGAAAAAGTACATGTATGACTCTCTAGCTAAGACAATATACTTATTATCATACACTTTAACTAATGGCTCTTTATTAAATTTATTTCTGAATTCATTGAGCTTATTAACGTATTCCATAAATTGAGAGGTTGGTGGATAAAAGTACCAATGAGCTTTAGAAATATAATCAAATCCTTCAGTGATTTGAGGTCTATCTAAAGGAGATGCATAAGCAATTTGTAATAAAATTCTTCCCATTGATTCAGTTCGTTGATGTTCTATTGGATGAAGATAATACCATCTTTTAATATTAGAAAAGAATTTCATTTCAGTTAAATCAAGTTCAATAACACCTAATAATTCTTTACTTTCATAAACATAAACTAACACATTATTTCTTTGTTGGTCTAAATTAAATCGTATTGGGATAGGATCAAATTCAGCATCAATTCCTTTAGCAATTGATGATTTAATTTTAGTTTTACCAAGTAATATCTCTAATTCAATACCTTTATCTTTTCCAACACTTTCTGCTTGAATAGGAATAATAGAAAGTGATCCAGTTACACCTTCTATAACATGTTGTGGTAATGGATTATCTCTTGGGTCATGCCATGTAGTTGCATTAGTTAAAGCATTAATAAAATATCGTTCATTTCTAAAATAGCCACAACTCCATCCTTGAGGTAATAATGTTAATTCTTCAGGATAAATTTTATCACAAATATGTTTTGTTGTTTTATCATCATAAACAACTCTATTGATATGGTCAATAAAATAAGGAATATTAGAGTCAATTTCTCTAACCTCTTCAACCCCTTCTTTAAAGTTAATTTTAGGTGGACTAACTTTATGGGTTCCATAAAAATTCTTTTTTTTGAATGTCAAATATGAATAACCTAATGACGTAGCATATTCTACCATATTCTTTCTGTTCAATGGAAGTGTAAATACTTCAATTGGAACAATCATTCCTGATTCTTCTTTAGAATTAAGATTTGTTCCTGAAACTTTGATAATAATACAATTTGTTAATGAAAATGGAGGAGCAATAACTGTAGGAAGTTGTAATGGTGAAATTGGGATATTAAGCTCAAGGGTAGTAACTCCTGTACCTACCGTATATTTACAATGAGAAAATATTCTCTTGTCCATGGCAGAATTATTTTTTTTTAATGCTTCCAAAATAGATTCACAACTAACAAATAATTCAAGGGGTTTATCCGTTTTATTTCTAAAAATTACTTGACCATTAAGAATATCCCCTTGTTGAACTTTATTTGTTTGTAAAGAACATTTAATATTAAATTTTTCTGTGTCATGTTCTAAATCAATTGGACTATAATCATTGATAGTACGTTGAGAATATAATAATGGACATTCGATTGGTTGAGATTTATGGATTGTAGAATCTTCTTCTTCAACCAAACCAATCATTTCCCATTTTAAATGGCAATTTCCCATAACAACGGTTACACAACAATTTTCTGGTAAAACAATTTCAAATGGAAAACGATTTACTCCAGGTGCATATTCAGTAAATCTTCCATCTTTAATACTATAATGTTCACTAAAGCATTCTGTTTCAATACTTTGAAATCCAATATCATCTTTAAGCCATTCACTCCAAATATAAACGTTTGACTTTTCTCTAGCATCAATTGAACCACTATTAGTATAATTTGGATATCTACTTTTTGTTCTAAATAATACTTTAACTTTTTTAATAAATATTGGATGTTTTGTAGTTACTTCAACATAACCATTAACTGGTTCTCCAATAACCCCTTTATTGCATAGTACAATATCAATTTTCATTTAGTCTAATTGAAATTAATATTTTTTAGTTACTTCCGTTAGAAAGTATTTAAAATAAGAAGGTTTTAATTTAAGTTATATATAACATATTTTAAAATGAGTATATCACAATGGAAAATTCTCAAATCTATTTGATATAAAAAAAGAATAAATCCTCAATTATAATATTATAAATTAGAACTTAGAAACAAATAATAATCAAATGACTGAAATAGATACCTCAAATGGATTTGGAAATAGAACATTTGAAAAACCAGAACAAATTCAACAAATGTTAGAACAAAAAGTTCCTGTTGATTTTGTAAGTGTAAGACCTGGTCCTTCTAATATGAAACTTACATATTTAGAGAGTTGGAAAGCAGTAGAATTATCGAATGCATTATTTGGTTTTGATGGATGGAGTTGTTGTATTACTAATTTAAATGTTGATTATGTTGATGTAGATAAAGGTAAATTTAAAGTTGGAGTTACTGCTGTAATTCGAGTTACACTTAAAAATGGAGTTTATCATGAAGATGTTGGTGTTGGAATGTCAGAAATGCCAAAGAAAGGAATGGCTATTGAACTTGCTAAAAAAGAAGCAGTAAGTGATGGAAGAAAGAGGGCATTAAGACTTTTTGGCAATTATCTTGGAAATTCATTATATGATACTGATTATGTAAGAACACTTGATACAAATCATAAATCAAATGACACGAATCCATTAACATTTAATTCTATTAGAAATATTAATAAAGAAGTATTTGAAACTCAGAAAAGTATATCAACAAATTTTTCTATTGCTTCATCAAGTATAAGTCATTTATCGAATGACCAACCTCTAAGTCCTGTTGTACAAGAACAAACTCAATCATTAAAATCTACAACAGCAGATGTTAGTTCTCATTCTGTTGATATGGATATTGATGATAGTATCTTTAATTATATTTAAACTGTTAATAAATTAAATTCTTAAAACAATCAAATTTAAATTAATTTCTTTTTTTCTAATGGAAGGTCTAATGATGGTGGAGAATGTTTTTTTGGATCTAAAGAAGAATGAGAATATAATTCTGTTAATGCAATTTCAAGATATTTTCTTGGTAAACGATTTACTCTTCTATCAAAAATTGAATAAAATTTAATAAATGTAGTGGTTGACATATTTGGTGTTATTACACCAAAATTAGAATTAATAATATCTCTAACATCATCATAGACATTTAAGTATTGATCTTTTAAATAAGACTGCTGTTCTTTTTTAAACAAATCTAATTTTATTGACTCATCTAATTTAATATCTTTAACATTTAAAAGAAAATTATCAGGAGTATCTCCATATAAAATTTCTCTTTTATCACTCATTTCAATAAGAATATCTTTTACTTTTGATTCTAATTGTTTCTTTAATTGTTCATCTTGTTGTTGTTTTCTTTTCTTATCTTCATTTTTTTGTTCTATATCTCTAAGATAAAATTGATATAATTTCTCTTGATAATATTTTGGTATATTCATTAAATCACATTGTTTATAAAATGCATCACGTGTCATTTCATTATTCATTTGTTCATTTTCTGATATACACTTTCTCCATTTTTCAATTCCTTTCTTTTCTTCAATAACTAATTCATTTTTCCATATTTCAATAATATCTTTATCACTTAATGTTAAAAATTCATTTTTTTCTTTTATAATTTTAATAACATCTTCCCATACCATTTCTATTGTAATAACTCTTTCTTGTATCATTTGGCTAAAAAGTTCTTCACATCGTTTTCTATTTTCTTTTTTTTCTTTTTCATTTTTAAGTTTTTCTTCTTCTTTTAATGTTCCAACATATTCATTAAAAATACCTCTAACTTCTTTCTTTTTCATTCCATCTATAATTTTCATTTTTTTCTTTGTTTCTTCCCAAGTTGATTGAGAATTAACTCCAATATCTTTAAGCATTTGAATCATTTCTTCTTTTTTATTTACGTTTTCTTCTTTAATTTGTTTATTTTCATTCTTTTCTTTTAGTTGTTGTATTCTTTGAGTAACTAATTTATATATCTCTGGTTGTTCATTAACAATTTCTCCTGTTTTTTTATTTTTATATACTACCTTTCCATCTTGTTCAATTTCTTTCCAAGGACATGTAGCAAGAATAAGTTCTTCTGGTGTTTTAAAGATATCAGGTTTTTCTTCAGTTAATATTTTTGTTTTACAATTAACATAGAAAATTTTCCCATCATAACCAATGCATTGAAGCCATGACTCTTTTTGAGTCTGAATTGTTATTCTATATTCAGTGAGTGTTTGTCTAACATCAACACTATTTTTCAAACATTCATTTAGTGGTAGAGGTTGTTGAAAAGCCCCAGGGAACAAAGTCATTCCCGGAGTAATCCCATAGAATGGTATTGCCATAACCAACTTAGTAATGATTTTTAAGTTCTTATTTTATAATTTTTATTTTTTTTATAATAAAATAATTATTAATAAGAATAGTTTTGTTATAATTTTTTTGTTATTAAATAAATAGTTTCAATCAATAATTCAAATATTTTTTAGAAATGTTGAAAACATGAAATTTTTCACTTTTACATTTTATTATCAACTTTCAGTCAATCGTTCTCTAAGATAAAAGAATCCTGCAGTTAAATAAATACTAAAATGTAATACTTGAATAAATTCAAGAACTGCAAGAGTAATCATTACAGCTAAATCTGGATGAGGTTTTAGATTACAAATCTTCTTATCAAGTTGTAAATCTGAAACTGGACAAAATTCATTATTATCATCAAGTTGATGACAATTAGTTATATTAATTTTGTTATTATCCCAATTAATTAATGGACAATCTTTAAAAGCAAATATTTCTCCATTATATGTTTTTGTTGTATAAGCAAAACAACATTGTTTCTATTTATTGTTATTATTATTATTTATTTCATTTAAAAAAAATGATGTATTATCAAACTTCTTGTTCCTTTATAATTCTTTTTTCCATATCACCACTTTTCCAAGTATTTGGTAAAATTCCACATCCAATAATTGATAAAATTAAAAAAATAACAACAATAAACATAGAAATCATTGCTCCTGCATATGCAATACATACTATTTTTAGTGTCTTCTTTTGCATAAAATAAAATGTCATCATAAGTACTCCAAAGAAAATGGGTATTACATATATTATTATTTTAAGTATTAATGATTCTTTACTTCCAAAATCTTTAAAACTACACGCAAATAAAATTCCACATATTGATAAACAAAAATAAAAGAATGTATATAATACTGCTGGTCCATGTCCAAAAAGAGTACTATGTTGAATTAACACCATTGACTTTTCTTTTTTCTTTTTAAATAAGTTTTTCTTTTCTTTTCTTTTTTTTTTCTTTTTATTTTTTTTTTTGTTTTATATTACTAATTTTTTCTTTTTGAAAAGTATTCATTTGTTATAACTTCTTTGTATATTTTATCATTTAATCCTTATTTGAATGTTTTGAAACTGATAGTTTTATCATCATCATTTATTTACTTTTTTCCTTTGAAATAGTTAAAATAGTACTTCTTTAACTTAAAAAAAAAAGAATTTTTGTAGAATATTTTAAGAAAGATTTTCTTTTTAAAACATTTGAATATATATTATCTTTTCGATAAAAAGGAAGAAAAATGAGAGTATTTCTTTATAAAGATAATAAAAACAATATTGAAACAAGTATAATTTTTTTTTTCTGTTTTTATTGTTAAGAAATTTTTTAGTACTAAATATGATAATAACTGTCAGAACCAGATAATAAAAATATTAATAATTTTAATAGAGTGAGTTTTAAGTAAAGTTTATGATATTTTAGTTATGTGTAGAAAGAAATGCTATTATTAAATTCTTTGATTATGGCAGTTAGATAATAAATTGTTAAATATTTTAATGTTGTTAATTCTTTTAATATAAAATAAACCACAAAAAAAAAGAAATAATAATTTATTTAATAACGAAATTCTAGTCATGATACATAATAATGTATATTTTCTTTATTTTAATAAAATAAATTAGTACTAATAGATTTGTTGAACAAATAAAATAAGAAAGAAAACATTTGTTTGTTTTAATACATAACTATTGTTCTTTATGTTTTATATGAAGAATAACAATAAGGATTTTTATTAACTTTATCAAAACTTTTTTGAAATTAACTATTTTTGGATAAAAATTAAGAACAACAGAAAGATAACTTAACTCAAAGAAAATAATTTTAGTTGGCAATTATAGTTATTGTTTAGAGATGACAATCTGATTTACCTAATGAACTAAAAATTGAATTGTTGTTAAATGAGTTCAAAGAAAAAGAAAGTTACAATTCAAATTACAATTAATAAAATAACATCTACAAATGAAACAGAAGAATTTGTATTTATTAAATGGAAAACAGGGAAAAATAAGAAAGGGATAATAGAAGATATTCAAATGAATAGAAATATAAGAAAAGACATATCATTAACTACAACATTAAAAAAAGTATCTGAAAGTCGGTATCAAACAAAAGGTATTTGTCTTAAAATTAAAAAAGAAAAAAAAGTGTTAGTTCAATTTAAAATAGATATTTCACAAGTTTTTAAATTTAAAAACCAAATTGGAGGATTTGAAACAAAAGAAAAAAATAAAAAAGGAGAAGAATATATTATTTCATATATCATCTCTACTCAAATAATAAATCCAAATAGTAATATTTCAAAAGGTGTTAATAGTCCAATAAAAGACGCTAATAGTCCAATTATAAAAACTGTTGAAAAAGAGGATGAACAGAATTTTATATTACCAAGTGATAATACTCAAAATACTTCAAAAATTAAACCTTCAACTTCTATTAAAAAACCAGTTAGAAATACTTTTGATGCTGAAAAAAGTAAAATTTCAAGAAAAAGATATTCAATGAGAGATATTACTACTGAACAACCAATAGCAACTAGAAATTCATGTTTAATAGCTAAACCATTTTATTTATTTGATGAAGAAACTATAAAAATTATTAATGAAATTACTTCAATGGATAATTATCGTGAATTTATGTTTAAAACATCTAAAGAATTTGCAGATCATTTTATAACTGGTACTGAACAAAGTAAAATAATATTTGAAATAAAAGAAGAGTTAAGTAAATTTACTTTATTATCTTGTGTATTATTCTCTCTTATTGTACAAAAGAATAATGATGTATTATTTAAAGAATGTATTAATCAATTTTTAAGTAATGACTACTCTTTCTTAGAAACTCAATATGTCTTTATTTCATTCTTTGAAACTATTATACTTCTTAATGCAAAAAATCAATCTAAGAGAGTAGAAATGTGGAGAGAATGTACTGAATTTTGTACTTCTAAAACTTGTCTTATTGCAGATAAATTAATGGATAAGTTAATGAAATCTTATCAATTTGAACCAAAATCAAATTATCAAGAAATTATGAATGAAGTTCATAAATTAAGATTTCCTGACTCATTAAAGAATTTATTAGAACATATTTCATTATATGCATTAGATGTAAAATTATATAAATCATATTTAAATAAATTATATTTGTCTACTAATGATGGTAATATTTTATTATCAACAATTTTTTCTTATGATTATTCATTTCAAGAAATGCCTTTATGTCTTGAATTATCTAAGCTTTTAATGTTAGATGATCCTCAAATACTTAAAGATGAAGATATTAGACTTAGACTATGTCCTCATATTCCATTAGATGATATTAAAACATTTTTATATCTTAATATCTCACCTCAAAGACCTTTATTTACTAAATCTTCTATTGACACAGTAATAAGAGAAATACAACAACAAAGATTTCTTAGTTATTCATTCATTCCACCTTTCTTTAAACAAGAACAAATAAAAGAATATTTAAAAACATCTTCAATTAAAGGTGTTTTAACGTTCTCATTTAAATCTACACCTTTTGCTGATAAACTATATTTATAGTTATTTAAACATTTATATTACATAGCTTATTTTTTTGCTTGTTTCTTTAGTTGTGACATCTCTTTTTCACTATTAAGTCTTGGTAGTTTAACTTCATCAGAACTAACATCTTCTCCATCAATTATTTCATTTTCATTTAATAAAAATTCATCAATAGATTTCTTTATATCTTCATTACTCTCATTTTTATTTTCTTCTTCTTCTTCTCTTTGACAATTTTCTATTTCTTCTTTTGTTCTAAAAAAATTATCTTCATTTAAATCAATAAGTTGTGGAAAGTTTTCAAGTTCAATAGAAGGATTTAATAAATGTGAACATCCAACTTCTAATTGTCTTTCATCTAATGGTGGAACACGGTCTTTAGAAAAATGAAATGGAGGAGGTTCACATTTAAATTTTTCAATATATTTTTGTTCATAAAATTCAGGTAATCTATCAAGTAAACAAGCTGTTGCAGAAAATTCTTTTACTACCACCTTTTTTAATTCTTCTAATCTTTGATATTGTTTACGTAATTCTTTGAGACGTTCAACTAAACGATTATTTGTAGGGTTTGTTGGATGAAGTGTGAATGATGGTTCTTCAATATTCATTTATGAACTGAATATTCAGTTCAAGTTTAAATGAGTGATACAACACATTACCACCGTCTTAAAGAAGAAGATGACGAAAACTTAAATAAAGAAATAGATACCCTTTCTGAACAAAACGAAATTCATGTTATTTCTGATGAACAACAACTTTCAAAAAATAAAGTAGAAAATAAAGAAAATAAAAGTGATGAAGAAGAAGTTGAAATGATCACTTTTGCTGAATACAGTGAAAGTGTTAATGCTGTTATTACTCCTGTTGCTATTACTTTATTATTAACTGTTATTATTGTTAAATTATTAGAAAGAAGTAATGACCTTTATTCACAAGCAACTTCATACATATTTTCTGAAGGGATTGAATCATCAACAACTATCCCTATATGGCTTATTGCTATAATTGTATCAGTTATCTTCATTATTATGATTGTAATAGTAACTTTTGTATTTGTTCTTCTTTTTTATTATAGATGTATGAAATTAATAGTAGGATGGTTATTATTTAGTGTAATTTTATTATTAATGTTATTTGGTGGGTCAATTATGAAAAGTTTATTATCAGTATTCAATTGGCCTGTTGACTGGATTTCATTTGCTTTTCTTCTTTTTAATTTTGGTGTTCTTGGAGTCATCTCAATTTTTTATATTTCTCCAATGAAATTAAACCAATTTTATATGATTATTATCAGCGTCTTCATGGCTTCATTCTTTACAAATCTCCCAGAATGGACTACATGGACTTTACTTATTGGAATGGCATGTTATGATTTAGTTGCTGTACTATGTCCTAAAGGACCATTAAGAATACTTGTTAACTTGGCTCAAGAACGAAAAGAACCAATTCCAGCACT